GCATTTTCTTCAAGTGGCGTCTAATCGCTTGCCTGTCACAGGCAGCAAACCTTTTCTCGAGGGTAGTACGAGAGCAAATGTGAGGGTAAATGCCAGGGAAAAAGGGGATAAATGAGGTTAAATATGATGGTCTATACGAGGGTAAATAGGAGGATAAAAGAGAGGTAAAATGCGAGGGTAAATATATGGGCAAACAAGAGGGTAATTATGAAAGTATATATGTGGGTAAATATGATGGGAAATAAAAATGATGATGATATATGTGACGGTAAATGTGAGGGTAAATATATGAAGGTAAATGCGAGGGTAAATGTGAGGATAAATGGGGGGTAAACGCGAGGGTGAATATGAGGATAAATGCGAGGGTAAATATTGGGATAAATTCGAGGGTAAATGCGAAGGTAAATACGAGGGTAAATGCGAGCGTAAATATAACAATATATGTTAGGGTAAATGCGAGGGTATACGCGAGGGTAAACACGAATCTAAGACATGTCGTTCTGCTGTTGCCAGGTTCGGGACAATGAAAGTTCGTGTACCAAAGGTCATTAAACAATTTTAATGAAGTGTACAAAGAACAATAAGTGGCACGTAGCTCGCTCATAAAATACACAACATATTCACCTATACAAACAAGTACGAAAGTGCTTAAAAACATTTACAAGGTAAAAAATTATAAAAATACATACATAGATAATTAAAACACATGTAGTAGCTAGAAAATGAGGAAAAATGGCATTATCTTTAAAAATTGGGGGACCTGTTTTGAAAATATTTACAAATTATGAAATAACTACACAATTTGAACAAAATATGAGGCTTGTTGATGACATCTCTAACTTAGTGGTATAGGTTAGAGGTTGAAATAGGGAAACGGGTGGAAACAGGGAAACGGGCGGAAATAGAGAAACGGGTGGAAATAGGGAAACGGGTGGAAATAGGGATATGGGTGGAAATAGGGATATGGGTGGAAATAGAGAAACGGGTGGAAATAGGGAAACGGGTGGAAATAGGGATACGGGTGGGAAATAGGGATACGGGTGGAAATAGGGATACGGGTGGAAATAGGGATACGGGTGGAAATATTACGAACACTACACCTAATATCACAATTCTGAGAGGAGTGCGCAGGCTGTCGTCACGAGGGTAGAAAATAGAACGCAACATTAAATAATTTTGCCCGTTACGAAAAACCATTACTTAAAAAATTCATTTAGTCAAATAGTATATCCGTTACAGATAATTGAACTATATGTATGAAGCCGATGAGAATCAAAAATAAAAATATTATTCGAGAAATAAAGTAAACAATTTTAGTCATTTATCGAAATATCGTAACGGTAATTACAATAATAAACAAGCAATTAAAAGAAGCTTTGAAAACATCAATCACCTGGCCTCCATCTCTTCCTTAGGCTTACATCTTAACTGACAACAACTTTATAAAAGTAGACTATTTACTATATACACAAATAGGCAATTATCAGTAGCAATTTTCGTACAGGAAATGCATTACAAAGATTCAATTCCTAGCCTGATGGCAATAAGAAAAAAATGGCAATAAGTAATGTAGGTTATCCCCTCACTATCCCCCTCATTCCTCCCCTTTGGTTCCCTCACTATCCCTCTCATTCCTCCCCGTTGGATTCCTCACTATCCCTCTCATTCCTCCCCGTTGGTTTCCTCACTATCCCCCTCATTCCTCTCCGTTGTGTACCCTCTCTATCCCCCTCATTCCTCCCCCGTTGGTTCCCTCATTATCCCCCTCACTCCTTCCCCGTTGGGTACCCTCATTATGGGGGACGAAAAGGGGAGGAACCGACGAAATCTACTCCTCTAAAACGAAGAAAATTTGTAGTAAATAAGATGTAAATGATTGGTCGCAACACTGGTTTCGATATCATGATCCATTTTCCAAAAAAAGTAATGCATTTAAATAAATGTAGAGAACTTATCGGAAAAATTATCTATTGGTGATAATAAAAAGTAAACATCAATAACAATTTGTGGGTAAAGATGATTCGGGAGTTAGTTTAAGCAAGGCATTAGATGATTATTAGACACTGGCACTCTTGAAAAAATAACCTATTATAGTGCGAGTAAGTTGAGCTACATAAGTTTACGAATGCACAACCATTGGAAAATTCTTACTCTATTTTTAAATATAAAACTCGCAAAAAATTTACATTTATAATAATTTCGATCAAATGTGCCCTAATCAAAAATCATGGCAGAATGAACCTTTTTACCGTTGTAAGATGCCACATGATCACCAGGGCCTATACTTTCAAAAAAAGTTAAGAGATCGTAAGTTCATCAGCCAATCATTGACGACCTTTCAAGCAAAATCCACTAATCATAGACAAGAAAATAGAGCATAAGTACTTACGTTCACTTAGCGAGTTTTGAAAGTATGGCCCCAGCACAGTAAGCCAGTGAACTGATAAAACTAACCAACGTCAACGTAATTAGTTTATGTTTCTATAACTGGAAGAGCTGTTGTGTCAAATGTCAAGGGATTTAGTGACAATAAATATATGCATTTGATATGATGATAATCGAATGCAACTAATACTATGCAACTGATTGATAATCGAATAGGCACACGATGCCGTCAGTTATGACAGTTATGCTGTAAGTGAAATCCAATGATACATTTATTCGATCCCTAAAACAGTCATACAATAATTGCTTTACATTCTTAGACATTCGCAGCGGCTAATCAGGCCGTGTTAAGGATCTGGGGCCATACTTTCAAAACTCGCTAAGTGAACGTAAGTACTTACGCTCTATTTTCTTGTCTATGATTGGTGGATTTTGCTTGAAAGGCCGTCAATGATTGGTTGATGAACTTACGATCTCTTAACTTTTTTGAAAGTATAGGCCCTGGCTGGCAATAAACTGGAACCGAAAGGCGATGCTTTCACCAAGGCTTTGAAGAACCATTGTGTCTCTTAGAAAATGCCCAGAACATCAAACATTAGTCAGATAGTCAGACAATAAATTATTTCAGCGCAATCAAAGACAGGCAAGCGAGTATCAACATTCAACTTAACCATGGGCTCTCATGCAGTCGTCAGGTATGTATGTTTTTTTTTTTCGGTATGTTTTTTAAACCTTAATGACGCTAAATATGATGTGAGGAGAATGTGAATAATAAAATGCGACCAATCAAAGGATGAACGACTGATCGACGTATGACCGACTAATCAGAGAATTAACGACTGAACAGCGGATAAAAGGCTAATCAAAAGATAAACGAATAATCGAAGTATGAACGAATATTCACAGGATGAACGACTGGGCAGATGACGAACGACTAATCAGAAGATGAACGAATAATCAAAACATGAACGAATATTCAAGGGATGAACGACTGTTCAGATGACGAACGACTAATCAGAAGATGGACGAATAACCAAAATATGAACGAATATTCAAAGGATGAAGGACTAATGAAAGAATGAAGGATAAATTAAAAGTTTACCGATTAATCAAGATATGAATGACTAATATCAATGGACGCAATGTTCTCACGGCCCTCACCGAGAGCACCTAGGTGGCTTGTATGGGACAGCACACAAAAGTTTAAGTACGATTTAAGTAAATGATTAAGTACAACCATGGACATTGATTAATTTGTATGCCTTATGCGAAAATATCCCCAATTACATTACTTCATTGATCGACAGCATTAATCTAATGCTATCAATTAAATGTTAGCAATGTATTGAAATTATACTAATGGCCCCCGATAAATTAATTATCGTTAACAGCCTAATTATACACTGGGCGGAAGTATGGGAGGGAAGTAGGAATTTGTTAGTTTAATCAAATCTTTTGTTATCAGAGTCCTACTGCACGGACAATATTTTGTTTAAATGAATGCAAAAATTGTTGCGTGTTTATCAATATCTTAAAAGTTAATGGCCATGGACTCGGTAGTCATAAAATTCTTTTTGCAATTGCATTTGTAATCAAAGATAAACCCTGATGAACTTCATCCTTTGACTGTCATCAAAGTTTGATGGCAGTCAAGGCTTGAAGAAAAACTGCAAATTTATTAACCGAAATTTAAATAGACACATTAATGCATGCGTATATGAACACAAAAAAATACGTATATGAGCAAAAAAACACAAAAACATTCGGATTCGAAATATTTCTTTTCCATTCGAAGCGTTTGCTTTTTCTTCAGTTTATGGAAACTTTATAGTTAACAAGGTTGCAGATCTGAAATAGAGCCTCGAGCAGTTATTTTAAAAATAACTATTCAATTATATCTCTAATTGAAGTTATTTTCGGTAAAGACTAACGAATCAAATTAGAAATTGTACAAAATGCGTAACGTTAAGAAGGCGGTAGAAATAGTATATTTATCTTTGAAAGCCTTTAATTAGTTATATACAATAAGTTAGAATAATTCTGAAGGCTTGGATTTATCATTACAATATAAAGTACCCGGGTATGATGCAACGCCAACCTTCCCTCAACAACCAACGGGAGCATGTGGAAATTCTCTCAAACATCCATATTAAATTTTCTTGTTGAAATGCTCACTCATATCGATATTATGTCGTTCTGTGTAATTAGCGCACAAATAGCACCTCGGTTGAAACATTTTACGCGTACAGAGTTTGGGGGCACTTCGGTGGGAAATGCACAGTTCAATTAAATTTAGCGGCATTTAATCCAATTTCAATTTAAATATTTTTACAATTTAAATTGCAATTTTTTTGTTTATAACAGGCACTTCCCAACCCACTAAATTTTGAGTGGATTCGGCACTTCTCAAAATTTTGATAGTCACAAACCAATCACGTCACTTCGCATGTTCTTTCACTCTTACCAATGTAACAAATTTCGGGCCGGAATCATTAAAATTGTTTGCGAATCCAAGATTTTTCAGCACTGATACAGTCATAATAACCGGTTTCCTTGATAGGGAAATTCAATTTCTTCAGAATTTGACCGGAACATTCGTATAACAAATCACGGCACTACGCCCCCACTGTACAAAAGCCTCCTCCCAGGCCCATGGACGCGCCTCCTGCAGGCGAGGCGCTCGGGAGCCCCAAACCAGACATGCCATGCATCCCGGGGTGGTGCTGATGGCCATGATATGCCCCTTGTCCACCAGGACCCATGAGTCCACCTGCCATGGAGGATGCCATGGAGGACGAACTTGCAGCTGCAGCTGCTGCAACGGCGGCTGCAGCGATGTGCTGGTTACCGTACATCGTGTACATGTTGTAGCCACCGTGTCCTCCGAAGCCACCAAACGCGCCGGCTGCGGCGCCCGACTTGTCGCAGCGTAGCATGTCGGGGAAGCCGAGCATTGCTTTCTTCTTCTTCTTGGCGCTGAGCTTGCGGTTGCGGGTCTGGATGCCGTCCTTCTTCATGGACAGCGGCCGGGGCACCTGCGGCAACAAAAACAGAAATTTGTGAGAAAAAAAAACAGAAAAAAATTTAAAAGGTGTTGTGAATAAATTCAGAATCATATATATGATGATTAATGGTAAATAAATCATAAAAAAACACGAAGTTGGTTTATGAGGAGCTTTGAGAGATGAATATTGAGAAACACCCCGTGCGACTTCACGGTCAAACTGAAGGGAAATGACACTTGCAATTTACATAGCTGACGATAAGAAGACGTATTTCATCGGTACTGAAAATCTGAAAAGATGAGAGATGAGTTGTAAACGCAGGGAATGGAAGTCCACGAATGTAAGGACTCATTGTTGAAGATGAACATATTCGGCGTAAGAATATCATAAGTTATTCGGACGAGCTGATTAGTAGGAAACATGATGAATATATTCAGCGGAGACTTAACTACTCACAGCAACCATTTAGTAGGCATAAATTAATTAAACCCATGTGAAAATATATGCGCTATAACTTTACTAATAATAATTAGGCTTTATCCCTGCACATGTAAATCGGTAACTTCCAAGCCCTCCCGCTCACCAGACCGTGCTAGGTCCTCAGTCAGTCCCAACAAAGACTTGCTTGATCCTACGGCGGGCAGGCTGCCTTATTTCCATAGGGATGCCCTAAGGACGCAGAAACCAACTCGCCTCGCGCTAAAATATGGCAAGCTTGTAGGAGTGCCCACTGGCGATCGTTGCTGCTCTTGGTGGTTTGTTTTTGATGGTATTTATTGTTCTTGATTTGTTCCGTTCCTGGTTTTTATTTGTTATTTTTGTTGTAGGTTCCAAATATGAGGCTTTTTTTGTACCCTAAGTACGAACGTCGTTCATGATTCTCGTAAAATATTGAACAATGTAAAATAAGAATTAAAATTCTAAGCAAACAACTCGGTCGACGTGAATTTTTGAAAAACCTTGCAATTTGGCAATGGGCCATTAAAGTTTTGCCCGACATATTAGAGTACCCATTGATTTTCTGAACTACAATGAACAACATATTTTGTTATTCAGACGTTATACTCGATTTGTCTAGAGTTGTTATCACACATACACGCTGCCTTGGATGTTGTGATGCTAGTGTAACCTGAGAAAAAGCAGGGAACTGCGTCCAATATATTGGGCCAATCAGTTAACAATGTCGGGGCAATTTAGCTTAACTGGCCAATACAGCAGAACCGTTGGAGTTAGTTAGGTCTGGGCAATGTAGAGAGATGCGGTAGAAGCAATACATTAAATATTATACTTTTGTATGCTTTATTCATGGCATATCTTGATAATGAAAGCAATTAGATCTGTACGCTGCATGAAATTTCCGGACCTATTGGAAATGTTCTCACTTAAGTAAGACGAGTTAAGTCATTAATGTTTCTTTCATAAAAAATTCTTATGCGTAAAATTATTTCTTGTGAATTTATTCAAGAGTATAATGAAATATTGGCAACTATCTTGTTTGCCCACTACTGATGTGCTAGGAGACTTAACACTCTTACAACGTAGAAAACACTCTTACAACACTCTCTTTTTTCTTAACACTCTTACAACGTAGAAAAGCTACGTAAATCAAGACAAAGCCGATCTTTTATCGGAAGGATCGAGCTTTTATTATTGAAAAAATAGGAAATGCTGACGAGTCAGCCGTCGGAAGCGTATCCTGAGTATACGGCGCGCGTCTCGTCAACGTCAGCGCTGACGTGACGACGCAAGCTTGCTATAAATCTGTACGTCGTCATTCTACGTCGGGGAAAAATAACGTAACTCATGTCCATCTTACATTGATTGGTAGCAGTTTGATTCTGAAGGCTGATTAAATTTTGAATGAAAGTTTTATTAAAATTAAAAATAACGTAACTCATATCCATCTTATATTGGTTGGTAACAGTTTGAATCTGAAGGCTGATTACATTTTGAATGAAAGTTTTATTAAAATTAAAAATAACGTAACTCATGTCCGTCTTACACTGATTGGTAACATTTTGAATTTGAAGGCGGATTAAATTTTAAATTAAAGTTTTATTATAATTAACGGTTTACTTACTTACATATTACAATTAAACTTCTAATAATTATTATTTATTGCGCCTGGCATTGCTCATGCATTTTGCATGGGATTTCGAAAAACAGTTCATTTTGAATAGGTGTAAATGCACGCTTTTGAGTCTTCAACATACTCATGGAAAATTTACACACTACTTATAATTTTGGTGATTCAATTTGGACACGGGGTAAATGAAAAACGGATGCAAACTTAAATTAATAACCAATGAATTGTCAAGAGATTAAATATAAATATTAAGAGTGGGATATTGCACTGAAGTCAGTGAAGCTCAACGAGCAGCAAGATTCAATGAAGTTTTTGCGATAGCTTTGCGTGTGTTTAGTGTCGGGTGGCAGAGACGAGGGCTTCCTCTGCTTAATTACCGAGACCGAGGGTAAAAAATGGAAATCAGGGTAAATGCGTAATAAATTGGCTGATATTTATAAGGAGATATATGAGATCTACAACGAACTTTAAGATGTAAGAAGCTAAATGAGGTAAAAAATGTGATCTAAAGACTTTTTTGCGCTATGACAGAGGAATGGGTTTAAACTAAAAATTAGTAAGTAGACCATAACTCATTTAGGAATTTAAATGAATTCAAGTTAGTAAATGAATTTGAAAAAGACAAAAGCTTCCATTGAATAGGCAGATAAATGACTGAAAGGATAAACAGTTACGGGCTAAAAGAGGGTAAACGGTCTGAAAGAGGATAAATAATTAGTAGGGAAAAATGAGCTGAAATACGGTTAATGAGTTGTTAAGTTTTAAAAGCGACGAGGTAAAATAAATTGAGTGAATGATTAAGCAAGGTTGAGAAAGATTAATTTAGATTACTGAGAATATATTAACTTGATTGCTATGAATACAATGGTTACACGAATTGAGGATATCACTGAGTTTATCGAAATATAATGTAAAATGCAATTATCAGGCTAGAGGAATGATCCGGAACTGAGAAATGCTGAAATTATTCATATATAAAGAACATAAAAGAACTAGAAAAAATATCAATAATCTTCTGGAAGAGCGCATTACAATAAATAAGGCAGTGTCTTTGATTTAAAATTTGTATTAAACCTTACGGAATTAATACTTTGGCTAAATCAATAGAAAAATTTCAGCGTTGTGCTAGTATTTAAAGCTGAGTCTTCACAAGCACAATTGGGGGAAAGCCGCACAACTGCTGCAACCAGCGAGAAAACTGTTAAAAAAAACAATTGAATCTGAAGTGAAATTGTTCGAGTCGATACTCGGCCACCGGGAGCGTTTGTCGAGCGCGCTGAGTGTTTGTTCGAACACTTGTTGGTGTTTGTGTGAGTGCTTGTGTGGTGTTTGTGTGAGTGCTTGTGTTGGTGTTTGTGTGAGTGCTTGTGTTGGAGCACCAAATACACACATTAGCCACGTGTGCTGCTCACCGCCGCTGTCTATAACACCAATTCAGGAACGTTTGCAATGTGTACGTTGATTCTGCTACTGAAGTGAAAATATTCGGCGGCGTTTCCGTGGATACGATTTCAGTGGTTAATAGACGATAATAGACGATAATATTTAAATTGTTACTTTAAATGCAACCTATGCACTCAATTTACGAGTAAATTCGTATCTGAAGTTTATAAAAATTACGAATTTTTTAATGTGACCACAAAAATATGAGTATTGATAGTAATTTTTATGTTATTTATACTAATTATATACTAGGAGTTTCTTTATTATTAATAATTCAATTGAATAATCGCTAGCCCTCGAAAACCAATCCATGCCCCCGAGAAGGGTTGGTAAATTTCTTGTCATTTGACTACATTCTCGCGTCAATTATTAATTAAATTACGATTTTATGAAATTATGTATCAATTTTTAAACAAAACTCAAATGATTCTTCATAATTCAACTCGTCCTTTTTTATGAAATTATATATAATTTTTCAAGCAAAACTCAAATGATTCTTCACAAATCAATGCGTATTGCGTAAAGCTTTGACCGAGACCCCCCGTGAGCCCTGCTACCTCTTCCCCCGCTTAGGGGCATCGCGTGTAATTGCGAGTACGCATTAGGTCGGTATGTGGGGACACCCAACGGGACCTCCCGCGCCACTGGGACTTGGGGACACGCTAACATGGGGATGAGAGTGGGGTATGTGGGGACACCCAACGGGGACCTCCCGCGCCAGTGGGACTTGGGGACACGGATGGGGATGGGAGAGGGATCTGTGGGGACGCCCAACGGGGACCTCTCGCGCCAGTGGGACTTGGGGACACGCTAACATGGGGATGAGAGTGGGGTATGTGGGGACACCCAACGGGGACCTCCCGCGCCAGTGGGAATTGGGACGCGCGGATGGGGATGGGAGGGGGGTATGTGGGGACACCCAGCGGGGACCTCCCGCGCCAGTGGGACTTGGGGACGCGGATGGGGATGGGAGGGGTATGTGGGGACACCCAACGAGGACCTCCCGTGCCAGTGGGACTTGGGGACGCGGATGGGGATGGGAGGGGGATCTGTGGGGACACCCAACGGGGACCTCCCGCGCCAGTGGGACTTGGGGACGCGTATGGGGATGGGAGGGGGATCTGTGGGGACACCCAGCGGGGACCTCCCGCGCCAGTGGGACTTGGGGACGTGCTAACATGGGGATGGGAGGGGGATCTGTGGGGACACCCAACTGGGACCTCCCGCGCCAGTGGGACTTGGGGACGCGGTAACATGGGGATGGGAGAAGGATCTGTGGGGACACCCAACGGGGACCTCCCGCGTCAGTGGGACTTGGGGACGCGCTAACATGGGGATGGGAGGGGTATGTATGTGGGGACACCCAACGGGGACCTTCCGCGCCACTGGGACTTGGGGACACGGATGGGGATGGGAGAGGGATCTGTGGGGACACCCAACGGGACCTCCCGCACCACTGGGACTTGGGGACGCGGTAACATGGGGATGGGAGAGAGATCTGTGAGGAGTCAGGGTATATAAAGACGGGCTACGAGGCGAGCCTGTCCCGGAGAAATTCAACCAGGAAGAAGTGTTGGTCACTGAGATATGAGGTCATGGGGATCACCAGGAATGGAAAAACAACGAAAACGCTTAGTATTTTTTGTAAATATTCAATGAAAACGTTTCGGAGACCAACTCAATCATCAGCTAAACAAATTCTAACGAAATACAATTACTGTCAGCATTGAATATCTTAACTTGAATTCACGGTGAATTTGTGACTTAAATAAGACTTTAGATAGAAATCTTGGGAGTTATCATGGAGCTGAACTGCTGCGACTGTCAAGCGACTGGCATGGAGACGGGACTGTCACGTGACTGGCATGGAGACGCGACTGTCACGTGACTGGCATGGAGACGCGACTGTCACG